ACATAAATTTGAATAACAGTAGTATTAACTGGTCTTCCTTATATGGATATTATCCTATCATGGACACAGTACTTCAGGATGGATCTTGAAATCAGGATAGATCTTTCTGATGATTAATGCAATGCCATTCCTCTTCAATTTGTCATGCCTGGCATAGTAGACTATTCAAAAGGGCCAATACCAGTCCATTACAGCTCACTAATCCCTAGGATATCAATTTTTACATGTTCTATTTCACTTTTGACAACTTCCTATTTTCTAGATTCATACTTCAGACATTCCACATTCTGATTATCAATGAATACAGCTGTTTCTTCCCATTTTGAGCTGTGCTCCATCAGCAAATGAAGGTTGCAAAAGTTTTACTGCATCCGTGTTATTAAGGTCAACTCAACTTTGAGGGGGAGCTCTGGTAGTGTAGTGCCTAAGGTGCTTGACTGCTAACCAGAAGGCTGGCAGTCCAAACCCACCAGCCACTCCTTGGAAGGAAGGTTGGGCAATCTATTTCCGTAGTGATACTGCCTCAGAAGGCGCTCTGATAGCATAGTGGCTAAAGCACTTGACTGCTAACCAGAAGGCTGGCGGTTCGAACCCACCAGCCACTCCTTGGAAGGAAGGTTGGGCAATCCTACTTCCGTACTGCTGCCTCGGAAACCCAAGGAGGGGTCGCTATGTGTCGGGGCCGACTCGACGGCACATAACAACAACAACAACAACAACAACAACTGCCTCGGAAACCCAAGGAGGGGTTGCTATGAGTTGGATCCAACTCGACGGCACGTAACAACGACAACAACTATGAGGAGGCAGCTCTTCCCCAGTCACATTTTGAGGGCCTTCCAACCTGAGAGGCTTATCTTTCAGTACTATATCAGACAATGATGTTACACTGCTATTCATGAACTTTCCCAGTAATGGATCAGTGTTTCACTGCTATTTATAAGGTTTTTAGTGGCCAATTTCTTCAGAAGTAGATGGCCCCATCCTTCTTTCCAGTCTATCTTAGTCTGGAAGCTTTGCTGTGAAACCTGTCTACCATGAGTAACGCTGCCAGTATTTGAAATACCAGGGCAGTGGCATAGCTTCCAGTCTCACAGCAACATATAAGCCACCACAGTATGACAAACTGACAGACAAGTGATGGAGAATGAAAAATCTCTTCTGGAGGAAATGCAGTCCAAATGCTCCTTAGCAGTCAGAATGGTTAGACTACATCTTACCTACTCTGGTCATGCTGTAAGAAGGGACCAGTCCCTGAAGAAGGAAATTAAGCTTGGTAAAGTAGAGGGTCAGCAAAAAAGGGGAAAACCCTCAATGAGATGGACTGACATGGGCTGCAACAATTGGCTCAAGCACAGCAAGGACTGTGAGGATGATGCAGGACTGGTCAGTGTTTGGCGCTGCTGAACATATGGTCACTATGAGACTGATCTGGCTTAATAGCACCAAACAACACAACACTAATATTATTATCATTCCTTACATTCTATTTTCCAAGGCACTTCCATATTTTCCAGTATAATGTGATACAAAGACAACATTATCTATTACCAGTAATCCATAGGATGCTAATAATGGCAGCACAATTTTCTTTACAATAATTTACTCTGAATTTTACCTTGAACCTATCCAAAGGAGCTTACTCAGTAAATATCTAATGAACTTCAATAAGAAGCAGTCATATCAATAACATAAGACTCCTTAACTTTTGTCTGGGTCTCATGAAAACTACTGTCTCTCTTCGTCCTTCCCAAACACACACACACACACACACACATACACATATCATACAAAATTTTGTCTGTAATTTCAAAGGGAGCAAATATCCCTTGAAGCCATCCACAGACCCCAGGTTAAGTATTCTTAACAAATATAAAGGGTAAAGTATATTTATATTTTCATATATTGCAACCATATTTCTTTCTTTTTAATTAAGGGCTTTTTGGTATAAATTTAAACTCTTATTTTTTAAATACTTGTAATTTTCTTTGTAAGTCATGTTATGCTTTTGTTATTATGCTAAATTACATTGTTAAACTATATTATGTTAAAGTATATTGTTCTCATAAGCAATATGCCATTATGCATTTGCTAATTTGAAAGTCTGTGTCCAAGAAAGCAGACCAATGAATTGTTAGATATTTCATTAGTAACCAAATGTATTTTAAAAACAAAGTATTATTAGGGGTAATCCTTTTCCAACATTTTAATCTTGGCCAAGTATGTTCATTTCCTAGACCTTCCAGAACAAAGCATCACAAACGAGGTGGCTTATAAGAAGAAATTTATTGTTTCAGTTTTGAAGGGTAGTCTTCCTTCCATGGAGTGGCTGGTGGGTTTGAACTACCAGCCTTCTGGTCAGTCAAATGCCTTAGGCACTTACACCATCAGAGGTCCTAAGGAGAAAACTGGTAGGAGTGAGGGTCTGACTTTTGAATGACTATGTATGAAGCTATTTCAGAGACCATGAAAGAATTACACAGATGCCACCAAGTCTTTCCTCCTCCTAGCCTCTACTTTCAAGGTGTCAACAGTGCCACTGACCCTTTCTTTTGTTGCTCAGTTTCCAGTGATTTTCATGTGTGCTACTCCTTGCAGCTGCACGACAACTCCCTCACATGGCCACCTTCTGTCTGTCTCACAGTGTCTCTTTTCTTTCATCGGACACCATTCAGATAGGGTTAGGACCCACGCTACTCCAGGACGTGCTCACAGGCACTAGGGACTGGGACTTAAACATAAATTTTGGGACTTTCAAAATAACTTTGGGAGAACAAAATTCAATCCAGGACACCCAGAGAGAAAGGAACTCCTTTTCCTCTCATTACTCGGAAGTCTTTCTTTCTACCATTTTATTTGCTCCTCCTCAAGAGAGCAAAGGGAGCTCTGGTAGCATAGTGGCTAAGACACTTGACTGCTAACCAGAAGGCTGGCGGTTCAAACCCACCAGCCACTCCTCGGAAGGAAGGTTGGGCAATCCTACTTCCGTAGTGATACTGCCTCGGAAACCCAAGGAGGGGTCGCTATGAGTCAGGGCTGACTCGACGGCACATAACAACAAACAACAACAACAAGAGAGCAAAAGTGGCTGATCTAATTGGACAGAGCTTAACATTATTTGTTCAAAATTTACTCTTGCTATTGTGGGATGCTCTGGTAGCATAGTCCCTAAGGCACTTGACTGCTAACCAGAAGGCTGGTGGTTCAAACCCACCAGCCACTCCTCGGAAGGAAAATGGGGCAATCTACTTCCATAGTGATACTGCCTCGGAAACCCAAGGAGAGGTCACCGTGAGTCGGGTCCGACTCGATGGCACACAACAACAATAACATTGTGAGATGCAGAATCGATTCCAACCCACAGAGACCCTTTGAAACAGAGTAGAACTGCCCGACAAGGTTTTCAAGGATGTAATCTTTACAGAAGCTTATTGCAACATCTTTTTCTCATAGATCATTTGGTGTGTTTGAACCACTGACCTTTTGGTTAGCAGCCAAGTACTTAACCACTGTCCCACCAAGGCTTCTCATAATTTACTAGAACCAAAGATTTTGTGTTTCAAAACTCAAATGGGTGATTCTTTCTTCTTTGGCTCTTCCAGTCTGTGTGTACTACACAAAGTAGGTGGGGTTTCCTTAGGCTCTCTCAGCAATCCTTCCAGCTCCAATTCTAACCATGACTGGTATTTAAAACCCATTTTCCTTATCCATACTGCTCTACAGGCCCGCATTTGTTTCTTCCTTCAATGTGGCATGTTGAGACTTTTTTAACTGCAAGAAATGGCATTTGAAGCAAAGGATTACATTGGGGACTGAGTGGGAAAGCTGTAGCATTAGGCAAGCTTCCAAACATACATTCCTCCAAAACACTGGAAGTCATGAGGGCTTATGAAAAAGCTGAGAAACCATAAATAATTTAGTAAGCAATACACAGGAGGACTGTTAATAGGTCACTGGAAACAACGGTTTAGGAGTTGGTGAAGTGAGTGAAGAGCTAAGTAAAGCTATGAACTAAACAGAGAGCCAGAGGCCACTCCCATCCACTTCATGAAGGTAATTTTTCAAACCATAATAAAAAAGGTAAATGTTTGCTCACTTATAAAATGTTTTATATAAAAGTAAGTACCAGACTGGAAGTACCAGACAATGTGTCTAATCACCCTTTGAAGTATCTAATATTCTTAGCAAAAGACTGATCACATACAGTAGACAATCCAGAAGAATTTATCAAATCACTTCAGGATATTAAGGATTGGAACAGTGAAATGACTGAATAATGTCCCTGAATTTTATTAAATGTAAGAAAATATAAAATAAGAGCAATTCCTATGGTTCATTTTCAATTCTGACTAAATCCTAACAGGAAAGTCATATTTCTGTAACTTTCTAAACCTACTACATACTGAGACAAAGTAAAGAAAGTATTATTTACTCCAGTGAATTACATTTAGAACAACTCTAAATATCTCAAAATAGTGCAACACAAGAACATGAAATGAGCATGAAAGATTTAGAGTATCAGAATATAATCTTGAATCTCTACAGTAGATTCAAGTGAAACTGGCGAAACAAGCAAACTGCTGCCTAAAGGCAGACAAGTGGTTCAGTTCTGCTTACCAAGATCACGTACTTTGGACATGTTATCAGGAGGGAACAGTCCCTGCAGAAGGACATCATGCTTGGAAAAGTAAAGGGTCAGCAAAAGAGAGGAAGACCCTCAATGAGACGGACTCACAAGAGTGGTTGCAAAACTGAGCTCAAGCAGAGCAATGACCGTGAATATGGCACAGTTTTGCAGGTAGGTTCTCAAACTGTAAGGTTTATTCTCTCAGGTTTATAAATAGCTTGGAAGTCAATGAACTTACTGAAATTATTTTTCTGTATTCCAGATATGTCAGTACTAATCTTCTGGATTCTCAGCAATTTTTATACCCTCTCCATCAAATACAAAAGTAAAGACAAACAAACAAAAACAGCAACAACTGAAACAATGCACTTACCCACTCCACTGATGGTATCAGGTTTGGTCTTCATCATTGTGCAAAACAGTCTTCGGCAGTTTTCTATCCACTCAGTTTGTTTATCAGAAATGCTGAGACGTAATAATAGCTTGCTAAGATCATTATCTAATGAAGAAATACAGTACATTAGTATAAAAGGACATGCTAGGAATGTTAAAAAAAAATCTTAATGTTAAGTATGTTAACTGTTAGAAAAGTAGAGAAATATTTTTCTTTCAAGAGAAAACAAATTTTTCAGTAATTACATTTTGTATCTTCAATGCCAAGACAAATATGTCTTAGAAGAAGTAAAGCCAGATGCATCTTAGAGGTAAAGATGTTGAGACTTCATTTCACGTACTTTGGACATGTTATCAGGAGTGAACAGTTCATGCTTGGAAAAGTAGAGGGTCAACGAAAAAGAGGAAGACCCTCAATGAGCCAGACTCACAAGAGTGGTTGCAAAAAGTGAGCTCAAATATAGCAATGGCTATGAGTATGGCACAGGAATGGCCAGTGTTTTGTTCTGTTGTATATAATAAGGTCACTCTAAGTTGGAACCAACTTAGTGGCACCTAACACCTTTCACTGCTATTTGCCACATTTATTAAAAGCTGACAAAATGGATCACTGACTTATGAAAATGGATTATTTATTTGTAATCACAATTCTTGAATGTATTTTTTCTTATAGGAACATGACTCATTACTGAGAATCTGGTTTAATGATTAGACTTTAAGTGTGGACTTTAAGATTTTTTAAAATATATTTTATATGAAAGTTTACATAGCAAATTAAGTTCTCATTTAAAAATTTTGATACAAATTGTTCTGTGGTTTTGGTTGCAATCTCCACAATGTGTCAATATTCTCATTATTTCCATTGTGTTCATTCCGCTGCCATTGATTCAGCTTCCCTTCTCCTCCTTGCCATGTAATCTTTGCTTTTAGGTAAATGCTGATTGGTCTCATTCAGTTGGTTATTTAAGGGACACATTACTCACAGATGACATGGTTTATTTTATGAGCCAACCTATTATTTAGCTGAAAGATGACCTCCAGGAGTAGCTTCAGCACCAAATTCAAAGGCTGTCTTAGGGTAATAGTCTCAGGGGTTTCTCTAGTATCTATTGGTCCAGTACCTTAGGACTTTTTTTAGGAATTTGAATTTTCTTCTACACTTTTCTCCCATCCTAGCATGTCCCTGGTCACAAAGGTCAGTAGTGGTGACCAGGTACTACCTAGTTCTGGTCTCAGGTTAGATGAGGCCATGGTTCGTGTGGGCTATTAATCCTGTGGACTGGTTTCTTCTTTAAGTCTTGGGTTTCCTTCATTCTCTCTTCCTCCAAACAAGAGACCAACTGTTGTATTTTAGATGGCCACATGCAAGCTATCAATACACGAGCAAAACACGAGCAGTGAGCTTGCCACTAAAGAGTTTCAACCAAACTTCTCTTACATTTTCTTAAAACAAATAAAATTGTAATAAAGAAAGTCCTTATTCTTATATAGTTGTTATTGTTGTTGTTATTTGAGTCAGCTCCAACACACAGTGACCCTATGTACAACAGAACGAAATAATGCCCGGTCAGGTGCCATCCTCACAATCTTCCATATACTTGAGCCCGTCGTTGCAGCCACTGTGTCAAACCATCTCGTTTAGGCCCTTTTCCTTTTTCAATGACCTTCCACTTTATCAAACATAATATCCATCTCCAGGGAATGGTCCCTTCTGACAATACGACCAAAACAGGTGTGACAAAGTCTGGCTATTCTTGTTTCCAAGGAGCATTCTGGCAGCACTTCTTCCAGAACAGATTTGTTTGTTCTTCTGGCAGCCTGTGGTACATTCAGTATTCTTTGCCAACACCACAATTCAAAAACATCAAGTCTTTTTTGGTCTTCCTTATTCACTGTCCAACTTTCACAGGCATATGAGGTGACTGAAAACACCATGGCTTGGCTTAGGTTCACCTTGGTCTTCAAAGAGATATCTTTGCTCTTCAGCACTTTAAAGAGGTCGTTTGCAGCAGATTTGCTCAATGCAATACGTCGTCTGATTTCTTAACTGCTGCTTCCATTGGTGTTGATTGTGGACAGTTCCTTGTCAATATACTGGTGCAACCATTTACTTGTGTGTGATACTAATGGTATTGTTTCATAATTTCCGCATTCTATTGGATCACCTTTCTTTGGAATGGGTACAGATGTGTATTTCTTCCAGTCAGTTGGCCAGGTAGCTGTCTTCCAAATTTTGGAGTATAGACAAGTAAGATGTTCCAATGCAGAATCCATTTGTTGAAACTTCTCAATGAGTATTCCACCCATTCTTGGAGCCATGTTTTTCTCCAAATCCTTCAGTGCAGCTTTGACTTCTTCCTTCAATACCAATACCATTGGCCCTTGATCACATTCCATCTCTTTAAATTCATGAGCATCAACCAATTCTTTTTTATACAGTGACTGTGCATTCCTTCCATCTTCTTTTGATGCTTCCTGCACCATCAACATTTTGCCCAAGTTGTTAGGTGCCCTTAAGTCAGCTCTGACTCATAGCAACCCTACGTACAACAGAACAAAACACTGCCCCTCGTCCTGCACCAGCCTCACAATCCTTGCTATGCCTCAACCCATCATTGCAGTCACTGTGTCAATCCTTCTTATTGAGGATCTTCCCCTTTTTCACTGACCCTCCACTTTACCAAGCATGATATCCTTCTCCAGGGACTGGTCCCTTCTGGCAACATGACTAAAGCAGGTGACACAAGTTTGGACATTATCACTTCCAAGGAGCTTTCTGGCTACACTTCTTATAGCATAGAGCTATTCATTCTGGCAGTCCATGGTACTTTTAGTATTCTTTGCAACACCAAAGTTCAAAAGTATCAAGTGTTCTTTGGTCTTCCTTATTCATTGTTCAGCTTTCACATACATATGAGGTGATTGCCATGGCACGGCATAGAATCTCTCAATATTATTGCAACTTAAGGCTGAATTTTGTCTTCAGTTCTTTCAGCTTGAGAAATGCCAAGTGTGATCTTCCCTTTTGGTTTTCTAACTCAAACTCTTTGTACATTTCACTATAATACATTGTCTTTCTGTGCTGCTTCTTGAAATTTTCTGTTCAGCCCTTCTATTTCATCATTCCTTCCAATCACTTTAGCTACTGTCCATTCAAGAGAAAGTTTCAGAGTCATTTCTGACATCCATTTTGTTTTTTTCTTCTTTCCTGTCATTTTAATGACCTTTTGCTTTCTTTATGTCTGATATTCTGATGTCATCCCATAATTTGTCTGGTTTTTGGTCACTGGTGTTCAATGAGTCAAATCTATTCTTCAGATGTTCTCTAAATTAAGGTTGAATATAATCAAGGTCATATTTTGGCTCTTGTGGACTTGTTTTAATTGTCTTCAGCTTCAACTTGAACTTCTATAAGAGCAGCTGATGGTCTGTTCCACAGTCAGCTCCTGGCCTTGTTTTGGTTATTCTTACATTGGTTTTGAAAATTAAAAAATCTTAGAAATTTGAGAGTTCTGGTATGATGGCAGAATAACCAGAAACATTGCACAGACCCTCTTCAACAAAGAAAAGGGGAACCAATTAACACAGATATAGAAGATAATCCTGGACCCCTGAGCTTTGAAGGGAAGGATACAGAAGTGAACTAAACTCCAACTAGCTAGAATTTGCATGAAAATACCAAAAAAGGGGACATACAGAGCTGCAGTGGCAGCGATACTGATAGCACTGACAGCGTGGATATTGCTGAGTGGTGTTAGGACCTAAGAATTAACCTAAAAATCAGCCCTGCTAGCCATGGGCTACACAGAAGATTGTACTGGTGGCTGGTGAATAAAAGAGGAAGCAGCGAAGAGGAAGGTGGGCTGAGCTGTGGACTTTTGCCTGTCTGGAGGGCACAGCCATTTTGAATGCTTACAAGTAGTTTGACCATTTTGGATATTAAAGCAATAGCATTCTCCCAGATTCCAGGGCCTTAAGAACAGGATCCACTTGCTGGGAACCACAAGGGCATTCTGGACACCGACAACAGGAAAGGTGCGACATTCCCTTTGTTACTCTTATAGCACACACCCACTTAGTGAATGGAGGTGCGGACATCTCTCACTCCCACTCAACTTCTAGGCCAGCAGGAATTCCATCTGAGTCTGTGTGCTCAGACAGAGATTGGGTACACTGCCCCGTGCTGCCTCAATTTCTTTTCTTTTTTCTTTTTTTTAGTTTGTTTTTGTCTGTTTTAAAACTATTATTATTAATATTATTTTTGTCCTCATTATTATTATTATTATTATTCCCTTCCCAGGTTCTAGTTTTCAGGTTTTTCTCTTTTCCCTGTTCCTGGTTCCATTTTTTCTTTTCATTCTCATGATTAATCCCATTCTTTGTTTTGCATTTTGTGCTTTTCCCATATTTTTCTTCATTATTATCCTCCTCTACCCTTTTTCTTTAATTTCCCTTTCCCCAGATATTATGGTTCCCCACCACCACCCTTTCTCTTCTTTTGGTTACTGTTCCTGTGTGATTACATGGTGTGTTTTTTTGATGGTTATTTAATTGTTATTTTTGTCTGAGTGGGAGACAGCAACAGTCCCCATATGACACAAATATACCCACACCTCCTGCACCTTCACTTACTGAGTGACAGCCACCATTTCCTTCTCTACCAATGGGCCAACAATAAACATCCACCAGGATAAGCTTGACTCACCCTTGGCTGCTCTTTAAAAACAGTTAACAGAGATCTAAATACAACAACATCACAATGTCTCGGAGACATCAGACCATCACAGCTCACACAATGAAGCAAGATAAAGGGGTAGAAACAAGGGAGCAGGACACAGACCCATAACACATCCCTGAGAAAGAAGCAGCATTGGAACTCCCTGATAAGGAATTCAAAAGAATTATATTTAGGTATCTTCAAAGGATTAACAGACAGATCAAGGAAAACAGAGACAAAACCCTAGAAGAGTTTTGGAAGAAAATACAAGAAAAAAATGACAAAAATAAATGAAAAGTTAAAAATGATTCAAAATCTACAGATAGAAATCCAGAATATTAACACTAAATATTCAGAAATAGGTAACACATTGAAAGAGCAAAGGAGTA